GCAATTATTTGATGCAATTAATTGAGTCACTATTAAAACATATAAATAATTGAGTCATTATGCAATTATTTTTGAGGATTTTGGGAATTGAGTCAACAGCAAATAATTTATACTACATGTATAGATGTGGGCTTAGGAAAATTTTTTTCTTCTATGGTTTCTTAGAAAAAGAATAAATGATTTAACCTCACTAAAAGATCGATATAGTCATAATTATCAAACTTGGAGTTGTTTACTGATTAGCAGTTAGACTAAATATATCCAAAAAATCTCTGTACAATTATTATTATCTAAAAGTACCTAAAAAGTTGTGTCCTACAGTATCTAGAGTAAAATGGCAGTCAATTCCAATACAATTAGCAATAAGCTAGATTAATTGCAGGTATTATGCTAGTAATTGGAGAACTTAATAGAATAATATATGATGATCAGGAATTCTAGTTACCCCTAAAAATGAGTTGGTGATAATAACAAAAATTTCTTACTTATTCTTCAAATAATATAAGTCTATTGTACAAGGTTAGATTCTAGTGTTATTAAGAAAACCAATATGAACTTTATCCATAGAACACTTTTGTCATACTTGAAGTATGGCTATGTCAAATCTTTTTTGTGACTTGAAGGCAAATCTATATAAAGTGGCTGCAGCACCTTCATATAAAAAGGTATTTACTTCTTATTGCCTTCAACACTACTCTACTTGCTATATATTAAGCCATATTTGGAAAGTAGACATGCCAATCCTAATTATGACTTGAAGATCAACCTATATAGATTGGCTGCAACATCTTCATGTGATTAGATATTCATTTATTTCTAAATAACTAGATATTATTCAAGGCAATAATATAGATTTTTGAATTTCTTTTTTCTGTATTTATTGAATGGTACCAAAAGAGTACAGGGGTTGAATCTCTTATGAGAGCCTTATGTTAAACTCTTTTTAGCAAAGAGAGACATATGTCATACTATTGATATTATATCTTGTTTCATAAGTGAAAGTATAATAAATATAATAAAACATAATAGCCATTTGCTCTTTTCAAAAAAAAAAATAAACAAATAAATTTTTTTAATAGTAAAATAATTCAAATTTATATATAAAAAAATCAATAAATTATAGTCTTTTTTAAAAACTTTAATATTATTATTATTAAAATCACAAAATTATTTTATTATAGTTTTATTTAAATTAAACAAAGATTTATTGAATTATAATAAAAAATATTAGTTTAAAGACTTTTGTAATACAATATATAAATATAATAATTTATTTTTTAATAAAAGCTATTTATAAAATTATTAAAAATTTTTAATTTTATTTAAATTTTAAGAATTTTTATAATATATTATTAATGTGATAATTAACAAGTCTGTTACTATATTATGAATACTAATCATATAATATTTATAGATTTGAACACAATATGGGCAATTATTTTTGAAGGAGAACTGGAAATTTTCTGGTGTAATCCTAAAATTTATACTAAATATGTATTGATTAAAGTTGGATTTGATAAAATCATATCTAGTATTTTGTCACCTTCAAAAATAATTATTCATATAAGTGAAAGTATTATATATAGAATTGAGTTAATTTTTAAAAAGATTTTTGTTTGTTATTATATTTCTAATATATATATTTTTTCTTTTATATATGTAAAAAAATCTTAAAAATTTCTTAAGTTTCAATTTAATTCTAATTAAATAAAAACATTATATGTCTATATTACCTTATTTTTTTAAATACTATAAATATTTTATATATAACTATAATAATAAACTATAGATAATAAATTCAAATTCTTTTAGAAATAAAAAAAATAAATAAACAATTTTATTCATCTTTAAAATTATGTTAAAAATTAATAATCAGTAATCAGTATTTAAGTATTTGCTTAATTTATATATAAAAATCTTGTACTAATATATTTTTAATTTCAATAATTAAATAAATATAATAAATACTTATTTGATTACAAAAAATAAATAATATATACAGTTTGGATAAAAAAAGATTGAAATTAAATCTTTATATATTTTTATTACTTATTCAATAAAAAGTTAATAAAATAAAATAAAATTTTATATGTATATGTAGAAAATATAAAGAGTAAGTTTACTTGGAAAATTTTTTTAAAAATATTAATACTAATATTATTTTAATTTGAAAATAAAAATTTATTTTTTAAATATTATTATAAATAGATTATAAAAAATATATAATAAAAAATTTGCTTCATTATTTTAATATATAAATTTTTTAAATAAGAACTTATAAAATTATAAAAAATTTTTAATTCTGGTTTTTATAGATTTGAACTGTATATATATATACTATATAATTATTTATTAATTTGATAAAAAATCAATAATAAAATATTTTCTTATCACTTTTTAAAATTAAAATTAATAAAAAAATTATTGGTTTTTTTATTTATATTTTAAAAATATAGTTATAAAATTATTATCTAAAAACTCTTTTTAATTATTATTATTATTTTTTTAACTTGCAATTAAATTGGAATTATTTATTTATTTAATTATAAAGAACTATTATAAATACAAAAATATATATAAAGTACAAGTTTTCTTTAATTCAGTTTACCTATTAATGGTTAAAGCCTCTAAATACAATTTATAATGTTGTTTTTCTATTGAAAAGAATTAAAAATTAAGATTTCCAATAGTATCAAAATCTGCAGATTATCTCTATAATCACAACCATAAATCTAAATTGTATCACCTATTTTATACAGAAACTATATAAAAAAAGAATAGATAAGAAAAAACAACACAAGTATGCACAAAAGAAGAGATTGAAAAAAGGAAAAGAAAAGCTATTATCTATTTAACTATTATTAAAAAAGCTATCACAATAAAAAAAAACTCAAATATCTTATAATTGCTTATTTTTTATCACCTATGATTAATTAAACTGTTTATTTTTCATTGATATGAATGATATCCAAGAATATTTGAAAATACTTTTAGGAAAGTATTTCTTGAAACTAAAGACTTTTAACCAGGAAGAATATTGGTTTTCTATTGTTGATTTTTCTTTCAAACTATATTTTTTGAAATTATTGTTTCATTTAACTAATGGATAGTTCCAAGACTTCTTTCTCCATCCATTTTCAGAATAAATATTATTTTTCAACTTGTTGCCAGATCGAAGAATTTGAATCTTGTTGTTACTCCCAATTATTTAGAAAGAATAGGAAAACAAAAAGGAATTGCTCCTCTTCTACTTATTTCTTTAACTAAAGATCATCCAACTTTTTCAGAAACCAATTACATCATCAGTTTGGTGTTGTACGATTAATGAAACGTGGAAGGACGTGTTCTTGTTTACTTTTTTTGAGATTAAATTTGATCAACAGAGCGTAATGAGTCAAACTTCAAATCATTTCGCATCAAACTATTCCACGGATTAACTGCCTGGACTCACTTTAAGCAAATTTTCGACCAAATTAGGGCCAAAAAAATCTTGGAGCTGTGTCTCCATAGTAATAGGAATTCGTGCATTGGTTTAGGAAAGAAATATTAAGAACGGATATGCTAGTATATTGGTTTATGGGTAGCTAATTATAACTTAGACAGCAACGTGGAGTGGTGGGAAGGAACTCTCATTTTGTGGGTTAGGCGAGAAATACCTTCCTTTAAACGTCTGCTACTCCATATTTTATTGGTTTAGCTAAACTATTTACAAAAATAAAGATGCGCTGTTTTAATAAGTTCATGCTATTCTGTTAGATCCATCGAATTTTCTTGATTTTTGCATCTTTGTCTAAAAATAAAATTCTTACATTAAAATGCATTTGTTACCAACTATATTGTGTAAAGACACGCACCTAAGATTTTCCGCTAGCTTCTTTATGGTCGATCCAAAAACATGTTCCATATTACGATCATCCACAATAATCACGAGGTCACCATATTTATTGAACCGAAACAATTCTGATCTTTTGCTAGACCTATGAGGAATCTCCACTGAAATATAAATATGTTTTCGATTAT